ATCACTGGTCAAGCATAATCTAAGATATTCTTATCGTTCTTGTTTATATTCATCTCTCATATTCCTATCTATTTTAAGATATTTTCGATCTTCAGTCCATCTTAGAACATTAGCCATTGTCTACCGTTCAGAAGATAAACGAGCGATGGAAAAATGTCACCACCCTTTCTTCAGGTTTCCACTTTGACTGGGGCTTTTGGTTTTCCCGCCTGGGGTTCTGCTCAGGGTATTCGTTTTGGCTCGATAGGACTGATGTTAAAAGCGTACGAAGTTCCGCCAACCCATTGCTATCGCCTCGTTGGCGTACGGTTGCAGGGTTCGTGGCAGGCTTTCACAATTACTGTAGTATACAAGGTGAGGAGTGCCGACTACTGCATACATCGTCGAAACTGAACCGGGTTCCCCTGTCAATAGTTTCCTCTTTATGACCATTCAAACAAGGGACGGAGGTCGTGCGTTCTCTGACCAAAAATAAGCGTGGACTGGCAAGTCCTTTGTTAGGCCGGTATATCCATAGCATTTGCCTTCAAAAACGCCACTACCTGAGAACAATCTTTTGTTTCATAAATGAGCCTGTGTTAACATGCTCATTTGATGATAAATCATACTACGACGCGATTGCACGTTTTAATTGTTGCTAGCTCGCCATGATGGCTACGTCAGAATTAGATTGTGTGGAGCAAACCATGCCAGTAAACAACTGGAACCTCCCAAAGCTAGTTTGAAAGGCTGCTCGTGAAAGCAAATGCGTGATAAGTGAATGAATGCAATAAATTAAGTTTATTCAGCCGCAGTTCCTGATGGGCGTCAGCCTCATTAGATGCTCGATCGAACAAACCGCCAAGGAAATACTGCCATTCACAGAGGATGAAGAATCGTTGACTTTGGAATCCATCGTCTGGACAGCGTGCATCAATAATCAACATCGTCAAGCGTCTCTCTCCCAACATGGCGTGGGACCCTATGGGACCAGGTGATGCCTGAGAATACACCGCCACATACCATTTTCAGCTGAATGACATGGGTCGGCCAAATCGGCATGACATGTTATACAGTAACACCGTGGTGAATGCATGCAAATTGGAAACGGTATACCATTGGAAATGGTATACTTCGGGGAACAGTGTACAATGGCCCAACAGGCTTTATATGATGAACTATTGAGACTTCGCCAATGGAGGGCATAGTGCGTTATGAACACGAATGTAGAAGAAAATTCTTTACCATGAGAGTAATTGATCGTTATTGTAATATGACGAAACAATTTCGAGAAGTTGAGCGGATAGTCCTTATTCGCCTCAAATCCATTGGGCTACAATAATATCTTCAGCACCTACTCATTTCAGAGCATGTGTGAGCTTGACAGATTCTTCTGGTACCATGTGATGATAATAAAACTTAGCTTTTTACCCTTTTACCGGATTTGAACGATATAATCGCGCTGTCACTTTGCTTGGAGATGTTTTGCAAGCCGTCTCGGGAAACTATGGTTTTATTACATATGAGTACCGGCAGTGCGTGAGGTGCATAACACCTTCGAGCACCATGCGAGTTAGTCTGAACAAAGACAGCTGGAGCACCAACTGAAAAGTGTCATAAAGCGCCAGCATTTATACGCACCAAAAGTCATCGCAATAATCTGGAGCGGACAGCCAAAAGCAACAGTGTTCGATGTCACCGGTCAGAAGAAAACAAGCATGAAGAAGTTGAATGGAAAATTGGTGGTTGTAAAATGACAATTGTTAGCACTCCGAGCAGAAGACGAGACTGTCGTCGTCAGGGTTATGCAAAAGATTCTGAAGAGAGAGGAAGATTTCCATAAAACTTGTACAAAGATGAAAACAACAACACCACAAATGACAATACATAACTGTAGATAGAAATTAGGTTAACAAAATTCCAGATATCTTGATAGAAGAAGTACGGCATGCAATGAGACAGTCAAAAGCAGGAAGTGCGAAAATGACATTACAGTGAAACTGGTGGAATCAGGAGGTAAACCACTAATGAAGATGGAAGATAATCAAGATAATACTCTTGCTTTTACGCTTCCTGAAAGAACTGAAAACTCCAGACGACTGGATTACTGCATCAGTGATTCTACTTCACAGAAACTTGTACAAAACGAGGATTTGAAGAACTACAGGCCAATGACTTTGGTGTCAATCGC